TATATAATAACACATTGCACGCATGTACACACATCATGCATCTAGTCCTCCCAGAAAGAGGTCTACAACTTAATTGAAATGACAGTATAATAGAGGAGACATCTTTTGGTGAATAACTGTTCAGGCAGTGGTACAAAGAGGAGGTGCTCTGGGTTAAGTAGAACAGTGGGCATATTCAAAAGAGACTTCTGGGAGGAGATGGAGAATGGACAAAATTTTGTAGGCTGAATAGAAGCTGGAAAACCAGAGAGGTTGGAGGATGTGAACATGGTATGACCAAAGGTGTGGAGGTATGAAAGCCCCATTTGTTCAGGATTTCATGATTTGCCAAGAGGACCAGTGGGAAGTGAGGATGGAAAGGTATGGCAGAGCTGGATTAAATGGAATGGCCCTGCCAAACACTAGGTAATTGAAGACTGGGACCCTGCAAGCCCACCTCACCTCATTCCACAGGAGAGTAGAAACCAAGTCATTCAGTCTCCTACCTCCTCTTACCTCAAGGGGGTCAGGGATTAGGCCTCAGCAAAGAGTTTGAAGATAATATGCCAAGCTGGGGAGCTCTTGTGGGGTCCTGGGAAAATGGAGCATTGTGGTTTTAAGATTAATGTTTTTACCACATGGATTTTCACCACCCCTCTCCCCAACTGTAGGACATATTCTTGAGTTGTTTTTCATAGTGGATTTGAGAGAGACACATATTTTCTTCTCTCTTCATGTATACCTACTTGGCCACAACCCCCCCCCCACAACCATTGACTTCTTAGGCCACCCCCCCACTTCTTTTGTAGTCAGACATCTGCGGGATGCCAGTCTGGTCAGGATGGCATGTATCATCTCTGTGGGACAGAAGGAAACTAGTTAGTCTGTTTAAAATTTGAACTTACACCCTGGACTTCTGGCACAGTGCTTCTTGGCCCAAATGCCTTTGTAAATAATAAGCATCTTTCTCCCCAGCAAGATTCCTTTCCAACAAAGGACCATTTCTTCAGTTAGTAAAATGCTGGTGAATGTTTTTGTGGAGACTGCTTTGAAGATTTGGCTAAATAAGAGCAACATACCACCAAGAAATGTTTCTATTACCAAAAAAAAAAAAAAAAAAAGAAAAGAAAAAGAAAGGCAAAATAGGACATAGGCCTGGGAGTTCTGAAACCAGAACATTCTAGGTTCAGATTTCACCTCTCCTGTATAAGCTGGACGTAGTCACTGGTTCCTTGCTAGGTTTTTGTAATGATTAGAAATAGTATACATAAAGCACCTGGCTCACGGACACTCAGTAAAGGGTAGACGTTATTAATAACGTCTCCATTTTATAGAAGTTCCTCCTCCTGAGTTGGGGGTTTGCTATGTTGTGCAGGTCCGTGAGATGGTTTTAAATTAAGAAGGTGGCTGCGGCTGGATGCTAACTCCTTCAAGCAGCATTCTTTGCAAGCAGTGACCATATGAGGCCGCGTGGCAGGGGCAGGCCCTGTGCAGACTGAAGCTCACAGTCACTGACAAGAAAAATCTTTTTGTTTTTTGCTTCGTGGAGAAGGTGGTGCTGAAAGCTTTCTTCCTTGGGGAAATCAATTTCACTGTGCAGTGGATCTCCGTGAGTGGGGTCATACTACTGCTTTCCTGAAAGAGAGACATTTCTGTTTTTATTAATCATGGAACTGATGCAAGACTGGTAGAATTTGTAAAAGACAATAACTTGTTTACTCTCCTTTTTGATGCACCTCCTGCCTTCCAGAGGTTAAGAGTGAAGAAGGGATTTTTATCTTCCAGTCTGGAAGCCAGACCCTCTTCAGGTTTAAAATAAGCAGCCTCATGTCCTTGGAGACCTGCTGTATATGAATTTTAGGAATAAAAGGAATTCTCAGATTTTTGTCGGCAGTCATTTGGAAGGCAAAGTTACTAAAATAGCTGTGCATGTAATTATGGGGCTAGACACTTCCTTGTCACAGGCATGAGAATGTGTCCTTCTTGGAGTTGAATCCAGTATGAAGGACCGTTGGTGTGGATGATGAGATGATGATGAGTTTATTCTACACTGGGTTTCCTGACATATAGAGGGCCAGTCACCTTAACATAGGTACAATAAGAGGTCAACATGAAATAGTTGTCTTGGATGAGAAGAGTATTGGTATTAGTATTATCTTTTTTAAATAAAATTATCTGTAGTTTCTGTCAATAGCAGTCATTCCTCATACTTTTGAAATTGGTTTGAACACCTGTTTCCCTTCCCTGCTGCCTCTATACATACATACACATGTACATGTATATATACATACATGTGTGTAAGAAGGCCGCGTGCATATATATACATATATATATATGCACACAACATTGTATGAAGTGAAGTGCAGCCTCATGGAGTGCCATGATGGGGCAGCAACTCCCTCCATGCAGGTAGGAGACTATATATAGAGAATTGTGGCCCATTTTTTGCTTCTGATGAAGAATGTTCTGCACCAATAACCAAGCGGCCTCTAGGGGGCAGCAGAACACCAACTAAAACTACCGTGCCTGGGGTTGTCAGGCTTTTCTGGCTTATTGTTCAGACCTTCTAGGTCCATGATGCGGCACCCACCTTCTCCCCTTTGCCCAGCAAAATTCATCCTCTTGGCCTTGCCAGGCTACAGTCCACTTGCCTCCACTCTCTCCATTCTCCTCCACACTCAAACTCTCCTGGTCTACTTTGTACTGTATCATCTAGCTTAATGCTGGGACGTATTTGCTATTGTTTCACAACCAGCTCTACCTGTCCTTTTTGGCAGGAACAATGTTTTATGTCTGTGGGTTTCCCATAATGCCAGGACTGCCCTGGAGGCCTAAATAAATGCTTGAAAGCAGATGGAGGATCCCGTAATCTGTAGTGAGCCCTTGATACATATTTGCTAATTTCGTTGTCAAGATGGTCTTCTTTTTGCACAAGAGAAGACATTTTATTTGCTTCACTTATTTCTGAAATGGCTACTTTCTCACGTGCATTCTGGTTTTAGCTTGGAGTGTAAGATGTAGATGTGATGGAGGGCATGAACTGTGGTGCCAGAGTTGTAGGATGGCTCCTCCCCTTCCTGGTTGTGTGCCTTGCTCAAGTTAACTTCTCAGCCTCTGTTTTCTCACCTACAAAATGGGCCTTTTTAAGCTGATCATATAATTTTATCTAAACTGGAGCACAGAGTGAAGGAGGATATTTAAAAATACTTATTCTATGAAGCGGGGGAAATCGGAGGGGTAGACGAACCATGAGAGACGATGGACTCTGAAAAACAAACTGAGGGTTCTAGAGGGGAGGGGGGTGGGAGGATGGGTTAGCCTGGTGGTGGGTATTGAGGAGGGCACGTTCTGCATGGAGCACTGGGTGTTATGCACAAACAATGAATCATGGAACACTTCATCTAAAACTAATGATGTAATGTATGGGGATTAACATAAGAATAAAAAAAATAAATTAAAAAAATACTTATTCTATAGTTTTTTGAAATACTTATTGACTGGGGAGTGGTTTTCATTTTTATTTTTTTTTTTTACTTGTCTATAAAATTGTTCTCTTCAAAAATGGTTTTCAAAATAACATTTCCAAGCAATATGTGTCCTCCTTAATACCCATCACCGGGGCATTGCATGGAGCACTGGGTGTTATGCACAAACAATGAATCATGGAACACTTCATCTAAAACTAATGATGTAATGTATGGGGATTAACATAAGAATAAAAAAAATAAATTAAAAAAATACTTATTCTATAGTTTTTTGAAATATTTATTGACTGGGGAGTGGTTTTCATTTTTATTTTTTTTTTTACTTGTCTATAAAATTGTTCTCTTCAAAAATGGTTTTCAAAATAACATTTCCAAGCAATATGTGCCCTCCTTAATACCCATCACCGGGGCATTGCATGGAGCACTGGGTGTTATACGCAAACAATGGATCATGGAACACTGCATCAAAAACTAATGATGTACTGGATGGTGACTAACATAACATAATAAAAAAACCATTTCCTACAAACTATTAATATACAAACAGGACACATTGTAAACGGGCTGGCATGCTGGAACAGCAGGTGTAAACCATACGGTGCTTCAAAGAATCAACCCACGTAATGTGTGTGAAGCGTGTAGTACCGTGCCTGGGACACACTGTGTATTCAGGAAATGAAGATTTCATTTTCCTTCCTGGAAGAAGGTTGGACAAAGAAGCACGCACCAACAGATCAAAGACCTATGGGTTTTTTTTTTTTTTAAAGGTTGCTGCCAGGAGGCTGTTCTCCTAGCTCTCCAGATTCTACCAACCCAAGGTGTGAGTTTTGTCCAACCCTAGCTGGAAAATACCAATTAAAGAAGATGGTCCTGCTTATGTGTAGTCAGATCGCTGCCTCAGTGGTAGAGAGCGTACCCGAGATGCTGTGCATTTTCGGTAATAATTTGGCTGACCTGTGAGCACAGAGCTCTTCCGTTTACTTGCAAAGTCACTGCTCCTTCTGGGCAACTTGCCTGGAAAGCTGGAGCAATGGGTCTTGGCACCTCGGTTCTGCACCCAGCTCCTGCTATTTAGGAGCTTGATTGCAGCGATTGTGCTTAAATATTGGGCTTACCATAAACATAATAGTTTGAGCTGTAAAATATATAACTGTCTTGAAGGTTTGTGTCCCCATATAACTGGAAGCTTAATTGCCATTGTGTGATGAGGCTTCCAGGGTTGGGCACTCCCCTTTTAGAAACTGTAAATTCACCACTCCTCACCCTGCCTCTTGTAAGTGCTGTTTTGCTCCGGTAATGAGAGCTCTCGAGCCTGTGTGTTCATTTAACCTCAAGCCCCTCAGAACTGAGGCTTGTGTTTTTGCCGGTTGCTGGTGTGTTGGAGAATTCAAGGAGTGCCCTGTGTGGCCTCCTGGAAGCAGGGAAGGATCTCCACATGGTCGCTAACAGTGGGTGACAGGAGAATCAAGGGCAGAAGCAGGTAGGAGTGAAGGGACAGCCCACTGCATGGCTCCTAACAGCCTCTTCTTTCTCTAGGTATGTGTACATTCCAGTAGGCGGGTCCCAGCATGGCCTTCTGGGGACACTGTTTTCCACCGCAGTGACGTTTGCGTTTGTGAGCTTCTGGCATGGTGGCTATGACTACCTCTGGTGTTGGGCGGCCCTCAACTGGCTGGGAGTCAGCGTGGAGAACGCAGTCCAGAGGCTTGTGCAGACCCCGTGCGTCCAGGACAGTGTGGTGAGCAGGTGGTGGGGGACCACTGAGCCACGTGGACTAGGCCTGGGAGGGAAGGCGGTCATCAGATTCACTCCAACATGGGCCATTTTTGCCGGATTGGTTCAAAGAGGATGTGCCCAGAGGTAGCAGGTTTTGTTTTGTTTTGTTTTTACATAAGTGTTTCAAAGCAATGCATGCCTACTGTATAAAAATAAGAAAATTCACACAAGAGGGAAAGAAAAATACCTCTTCAACAAAAACTGTTACAACTGTTCTAACCTTTTTCTTTACATATACGCACACATGTATAACGTTTAACACAAATGCTATTATTCCAGAGACATAGTTGTATGAGGACCACCTTTCTATGTCACCAAATCCATTTCTAACAACCCCTTTGAATGGCTAGAATAGAATTCCATTATGTGGCTATGCCGTCATTTATTTGATTAGTCTCCTGCTATTGGGCAATCGTGTCATTCTAATTTTTGGCAATTGTCAATCAAAATGGAGATGAGTATCATAACCGGGACAAATTCTTATATGTAAAATTGCTAAGTAAAAGTTTCTCACCCTTTTTCGCCATGCATACAGCTTAACTCTTCCTTAACTGCCCTGCAGTGCTGGTATTTTTAATCTTGGCTAATTTGATAGATACTGTTACTGTAGCATAAAAAAAAAGAAAAAAGAAAAAAACAGCTAAGTGCTTAAGATGCATTCTGATTCCACAGGAAAATGATTTGGAAAATTTGGAACTTTACACACATGTTACACAAATGTTTTATCATATAAAAGTGATATACAGTGTATTAGAATCTTATAGGAAAGAGTCAGTTCTGAATATGCAGCAGTATTCTGATAACCCTGAGAAGAGTGGCTAAAAAGAAATGTGCTGTCATCGGTGTTCACGGCAGGCAATAAAACACAAGAAATTTACTGAGTCGTGATTAATGTGCCTAAACTCCCCCAGTATATGCAGCTAAAGCAAATATATTTCAGAAACCCAACACTACCAAATAGAATACATTTGAGGTTTTTTTCCTATAAAGATAGCCATAGTAAAAGTGGACAGTTATTTCAATAAAAACTGATACAAAGCACATAGCAAAATAACACATCTGAAGGAATTTAAATATGCCCATGTATGTTTAAAGATAAATATTTTATTCAGTAGTAGTACCCAGCAATCAGCAGGAAAGAAATGTCAGTGAATCTTAATAGAAAAATGGAATTTCAATGAAAGTCATGGCTATGTAACACAAAGGAAAACCATACAAGCTGGTATCATCAAGGTTTCAATCTCCATCTTCAAATCCGAATAGTCTTCCCCGGAGCCTGAAACCCAGTTATCATCTGTGAAAGCCAGAGAATTCTTCTCAGCCTAGGCTGAAGCCCTGTAACACATCTCCCCATTCCTTCACGAAGGGTCTAAAATTAGCCTTGAACTTAATGTTAAGCACTGCTCTGTAGACTTTGAGCTGTGGCTTATGTTACTGACAAATTTTAAAAATCTAAAATCTTAAAGGAGGAACCCAAACTGTGCTATGTAGCCTTGTTAATTTTGGTTAAAAATGAAGACAGTGAGAACACTTACTCACAGGATGAAGCACGTGAATGTCTGCTCTGCCTCATCACAGCTCAGTCCAGGACCCTTGTGTGTTTGCCTCATTTGAGCTCCCATCCACAAGTCACACACCTAAGTGGATAGTAATTTTTGAGTATGCATTTTTTTGGTGAGATGTATGTCTTGTATATTATGAATATGGTGTTTAGTGTACATATTTATTGAGCAAGAACATATTTTGTAAAACCTATTTTATCACCTTCTATCCTGACATCCTGGTAGTTGGTTATAGCTATGTAGACAAGGAGTCCTTGAGTATGAGATCAGGATTCCATTACTGTTTATATCCCCAATGGTTAGCTCAGCGTCTGAGTTAGCCACAGTGTTAAGTCAGTGCACAATTGGGTTGATTTTTTTTTTTTTAATTCAGTTAGCCAACATATAGTACATTATTAGTTTCAGAGGTAGAGTTCAGTAATTCATCGGTTGCATATAACACCCAGTGCTCATCACATCATGTGCCCTCCTTAATGCCCATCACCCTGTTACCCCAACCCCCCACCCCCTCCCCTCCAGCAACCCTCGGTTCGTTTCCTATGGTTAAGAGTCTCTCATGGTTTGTCTCCATTTCTGATTTCTTCCCATTCAGTTTTCCCTCCCTTCCCCTGTGATTCTCTGTGCTATTTCTTATATCCCACATATGAGTGAAACCATGTAATTGTCTTTCTCTGATTGACTTATTTCGCTCAGCATAATACAATTGGGTTGATTCTTTAGTTGTTCTTCCACTTGTCTATGCAAAGACTTTTTCCCATTATTCTGTTTCTTACACAGTTCAGCATAGATTCTGTTTTCCTTCAGAAAAATAGGGCTGGCATTTCAAATATTGTGTAACCTTTTGAATGAACTGTTTCCCCACTTGGGTTACTCTCCTTCCCTCTCTTTTCATGAATCCATTCCCCATTCTTTTGTCTTAATCCAAATGAAGACTTAATGCCTCCTTAACACCTAATTTCCTCTGACATTAGTCTCCATGATTGATCTGATAGTATTTTTACAATGGGAGCTCACCCCCCCAGGCTGCTCATATATTCTCTCCAATGACATTAATCCTTCATCTGTTTTTTTTTTAAAGATTGGTTGGAAGATACTTGAGTACCAAGAATGATCATATCTTCTTTTCCCGTATCTTTTTCATCTTCGACCTCAAAGCTTTGTCTGGAGCACGAAATACAGTAGGATTTCTCAGTGTTGATGAAATGGCAGTTGAACATTCACCAGAAGACTAATCAGAGCTGAGTGTTGTAGGAAACCCTCTGATGTTCTAGGCAGGGCTGTCCAATTGAACTTTCTGCAGTAATGGAAATGACCAATACGGAAGTAAGCAGCCACACTGAGCACTTGAAATGTGACTAGTGTCACCGAGAAACTAATTTTTAAAATTTATAATTTTAATTAATTTGAGTCTAAGTAGCCCCCATGTGGCCAGGGTCTTCCATTTTGAGCAGTACAATTCTAGAACATACCCCCATCAAGACAAAAATTACAAGAATGTAGAGTGTTATAATTTTAAATAATGTTCAGTAATGATGAGGTACCTCGTATATCCAATGGCTACTGAGCTGTTGCACTTGTGTATCTCACAGGTATCTCAGACTTAGCATATGTAGTACTGGACTCGCGTACCCCATACCGCCATAAGTCCAACTAGCTCCTTTCCCTCTTGCATTCTCTGTTTCTAGAAAAGTCATCCTTAATCTAGTTACTCAAGGCCCAAACCAGCAAGTTACCCTTTGTACTCTCTCTCCCTCCATTCTACCTGTATGTACTGTATATTCTATCTCCTAGGAAGATCTTATTTTTAAAAATTATTTCCATTTCTGCTATGTCATCCTAATCTTACTGTTCTTATTCCTTGCCCAGTCTACCAGATAGTTTCTAGCTAGTTTCTTTTGCCTTCTTCAATTCATTATCCTCACAGTGCTGAGTGATGTTTCTCAATAAAAACCTAACCATGTTGTTATCCTTCTTAAAATCCCTAGTGGTATCCCATTATTTTAGGACTAAGCCCGCAATATTTAAGATGACCTAGGAGGCCCTGCCTGATCTTGAGCTTGCTATCTCTCCCCATCCGCTCTGCTCCCACCCCCCACTTCACACTCTATTCTTCCTTCTCTTCAATTGCTCATCTTGCCCTTCCAGCCTCAGAACCCCACATGGGCTCGTCCGTGTCCTAGGATGCTTTCTCTCCTCTCCCTCCACCTCTCTTCATCCTTCAGATTATAGTTCCAGTGATATCTTGTTTGTTTGTCCTCCGCTGACCCTCCTGAGTCAGTCAGGTCCTGATTAACAATTCATTTTGGGCACCTTGTAGGTGATCTCTTCTGTTGTACTTATCATAGTTGCAATGAAATATTTTTATACAATAACTTGTTTAATCCGTATCTCCTTCACTGAACTGTAAGCCTCATGAAGTCAGAGGTCTGTATCCTTGGCATGTATCAAAATGCTTGGCACAGAGTAAGTTGTGTAGTAAATACTTGTTAAATGAATGAATGAATATTTTCTGACTTCACTGAGGGCAGTGTAAGAGGAAGTAGGCCCATACAGCAGCATGAAGAATATAGATAGAATACTGGAAGAACTTCTTAAGGCTGAGGCTTGTTGAGCATTATACAGGGAGATTATTTTTTTCCATAGCAGCATAGATAATAATTGATCTAGTGATGGCAAAATGCTAATTTAATGCTCAGTGAACAAAATATATATAGGAAAGAAAGGGTTGGGGAGGAATTAGCCTATCTGGCACCCTGCTGCTTTATGAGAGGGGGGATTATTGGTTGTGACTCACTGGGGAACAGAGCTGTAGGATGTTGACAAAAGGTACTTTCACAAACACCCGAGCGGGGTGGACAAAGAGAAATTACTGCTGAAGCAACACGCTTTTTCTCTATACAAGCACTCTCTCAAGGAGGGAGCTAGAATATGTGTTCAGCATGGAAATCTTTTAATAAGTGGAAGCATTTTGAGTAGAGTAGAGTGACATTACTTCTTGCCAATTCTCAATGTGCTCTCTCCTTTGAAGGAAGATACCTTCAGGCTGCCTGTCAGTTACTCCTACAAAAGGAGAATCGACATCTCAAGCAGTTCACCCACCCCCACCCTTGATGCTCATTTCATTGAATAATTTCAATATGTCCTCCTCCCCCCAACCCTTATCTCCTCTTCTTTGCCCCAAGAGTATCCTACTGAGCTGATTTATATCCTCTCTGAAGTAGTAAAATTTCTATTTATAGACTTAATTGAGGAAAGGCGCTTCCAGTGACAATCAGGGAGGGTCAGTCTAATGGTTGTGGGAGGGATCTGATGCTCTGGTGTGTCAGAAGGAGCCCAAAGACCACGGCTCTGTGGTGATATCCATTCAGTTTATCTGCTATATTGGTCAGTTTGAAGATGT